TAATATTTTTATTCTCTCACCTTTAGCTCTCCAATGCCATTGGAAACAAAAATTCAACCCTAGAATCCCACATTCCTCATCATCTTTAAAGTGTTCTATAGGAAGTGCTACCTGGTCCTTCGGGATCTCATCTAGCTTTCCTTGATGGAATGTGGAAGGAGTCTCATTGGGCAAAAGCTCAATCTTTTCCCCATATCCAATTCCAAATGCCCCATACATCCTCTGACATTTTGGTGCACACAGTCCTACCTATAAAGTGGCAAAATTGAGTAATCATTTAATTTACCATCAGGGAGATACTATACCAAGGTTAAATGTGCATTGCACTTTCATCTAGTGACTAATATATATGATTGTTTAACCAATGCCAGAATACGTGGTTCTAAGAAATAAGATTTGGCAGACAAAACAATGGCCCACCCCAACCCCCAATTATTAGATATTCATGTTTTATTCCCCAAAAACCTATAAATATGTCATCTTGGCCGGGCGCGGTGGCTCAAGCCTGTAATCCCAGCACTTTGGGAGGCCGAGACGGGCGGATCACGAGGTCAGCAGATCGAGACCATCCTGGCTAACATGGTGAAACCCCGTCTCTACTAAAAAATACAAAAAACTAGCCGGGCGAGGTGGCGGGCGCCTGTAGTCCCAGCTACTGGGGAGGCTGAGGCAGGAGAATGGCGGGAACCCGGGGGGCGGAGCTTGCAGTGAGCTGAGATCCGGCCACTGCACTCCAGCCTGGGTGACAGAGCGAGACTCCGTCTCAAAAAAAAAAAAAAAAAATATGTCATCTTACATGGCAAAAGGAACTTTGTAGATGTAATTAAGTTAAGGGCCTTGAGATGGGAGATTATCTTGAGTTATCTGGATGGGCCTAATATAATCACAAGTGTCCTAAAAAGTACAAGGGGAAACTGAGTGCTCCTGTCTGTAATCCCAACTACTCAGGAGGTCAGGGCAGGAGGATTGCTTGGGACCAGGAGTTCAAGACCAGCCCAGTCAACATAGCATGACTTCATCTCTTAAAAAAAAAAAAAAAAAAAAAGTAGGCCGGGCGCGGTGGCTCAAGCCTGTAATCCCAGCACTTTGGGAGGCCGAGACGGGCGGATCACGAGGTCGGGAGATCGAGACCATCCTGGCTAACATGGTGAAACCCCGTCTCTACTAAAAAAAAAAATACAAAAAACTAGCCGGGCGAGGTGGCGGGCGCCTGTAGTCCCAGCTACTCGGGAGGCTGAGGCGGGAGAATGGCGTGAACCCGGGAGGCGGAGCTTGCAGTGAGCTGAGATCTGGCCACTGCACTCCAGCCTGGGCGACAGAGCGAGACTCCGTCTCAAAAAAAAAAAAAAAAAAAAAAGATAGACTGGGGACGGTGGCTCACACCTATAATCCCAGCCCTTTGGGAGGCTGAGGCAGGTGAATCATTTGAGGTCAGGAGATCAAGACCAGCCTGGGAAACATAGTGAAACCCCATCTCTACCCAAAATACAAAAATTAACCAGGCGTGGTGATGCGTGCCTGTAGTCCCAGCTACTTGGGAGTCTGAGGCAAGAGAATCGCTTGAACCTGGGAGGCAGAAGCTGCAGTAAGCAGAGACCGTCCCACTGCGCTACAGCCTGGAGACTCCATCTCCAAAAAAAAGATAGTGAATGGGAGGCAACAGAAGAGAGTCAGGGGGAGCTGTGTCTGTGGGAAAAAAAAAGTCACAGAGAGATGCAGAGTTGCTGGCTTTGAAAATCTAGAAAGAGGCCATGAGCCAAGGAATCTGGGTGGCTTCTAAGAGCTGGAAAGACAAGGAAACAGATTCTCGCCTAAAGCCTCCAGAAGGAACACAGCCCTGTCAATGCCTGTGAGGCCCAGTGAGGCCAGTGTTGAACTTCTGTCCTACAGAACTGTAAGATAATATATTTGTGTTGTTTTAAGCCACTAAGTTTGTGGTTATTTGTTACAGCAGCAATAGGAAAGGAATACACAAGAGGTCGTCTCATCTCTACAAATGCTCTCACTGACCCAATCTCCACAGTTTTGCTTCTAATCCCTATGACTCTCTAGAGATTTTACAATTCAAGGAATAACTGCTTCCACAGGGGACTCGAGAGTGGTTCCCCTACCACTGCCCATTTTAGGCCTTGTGCCATTAAAGGATCCGGCAGGCCAGGTATGCTGGTGCATGCCTGTAATCCTAGCACTTTGTGAGGCTGAAGTGGGAGGATCATTTGAGCCCAGGAGTTCAAGACTAGCCTGGGCAACATAGTGAGACCCTGTCTCTACAAAATATTTTCTTTTTAAATTAGCCAGACGTGGTGGTACATGCCTGTAGTCCCAGCTACTTGGGAGGCTGAAGCAGAAGGATTGCCTAAGCCAGGAGGCTGAGGCTGCAGTGAGCCATGGTAATGCCACTACCCTCCAGCCTGGGCAACAGCAAGGCGCCATCTCAAAATAAATAAATAAATAAATAAATAAATAAATTTAATTAAATAATTAAGTAACTGACAAAACAACAAAAACAAAAATATGTCATAGTATTGTTTAGGTCTACTGTGATTGACCCCAACCATCATGGGGAAAAAAGGTTACTACTAAGCAGTAGAGCCCAAAAGGGTAAGCCTGAAACTCCAGGCACTCCCCTGAGTGCTTCCCACAGTGCCCACTGCTGAGGGTTAGCAGAAGATTGCTACAGGCCTACATAGGAAGGACTATCAAGTGCTCAAAACACTCCAAAATGAAGGTGGGCCACCCTGCTAAGTACAACAACAACAAAACACAACAGCCAGCTAAGAGGCTGGTCAAAGACAAGGTATAAGATAACAAAACAGAAGCAAACTACCAGTTACCAACCTGTCCAATGGCTGACATGAGGGTGGTGTCTTTCGTTTTGTTTTCTGCTTGAGTGTCCAATGAATAAAACGTTACCTCCTTCCCTTATGTTTCCTCTTCCTGCTTATTTATTTATTTATTGAGACAGAATCTCACTCTGTTGCCCCGGCTGGAGTACAGTGGCATAATCTTGGCTCACTGCAACCTCCACCTCCTGGGCTTAAGAAATCCTCCTACCTGGCCATCTGGAAAGCCTGCAATCCCAGCACTTTGGGAGGCTGAGGTGGGTGAATTACCTAAGGTCAGGAGTTTGAGACCAGCCTGGCCAACATGGTGAAACCCCGTCTCTACTAAAAATACAAAAATTCGCTGGATATGGTGGTGCATGCTTGTAATCCCTGAGGATTAGAGAATTGGGAGGCTGAGGCAGGAGAATTGCTTCAACCCAGGAGGCGGAGGTTGCAGTGAGCTGAGATCGCGCCATTGCACTCCAGCCTGGGTGACAGAGTGAGACTCTAACTCGAAAAAACAAAAAAGAAAGAAAGAAAAGAAAAGAAAAAAAAAAAGAGAGAGGGAGATCCTCCCACCTCAGCCTCCTGAGTAGCTGGGATTACAGGTGTGTGCCACCATGCTGGGCTAATTTTTTTGTATGCTTTAGCAGAGACAGGGCTTCCCCATGTTGGCCAGGCTGGTCTCGAACTCCTGACCTCAGGTAATCCACCCACCTCAGCCTCCCAAAGTGCTGGGATTATAGGCATGAGCCACCACGCCCAGCCTCCTCTTCCTGTTTCAAATAGAAATAATCATAACTTTTGTTCTTTCTTCTATTTTCTCCCCATTATAAAGAGTTAATTAGTGTGGCTTCCTTAAAGAAAGGTAGACTTCCACAGAGATTCACATCATGTGAATTAATAGATAGAAAGGAAACTTACAAACTAAACAAGCAAAAGAGGTTATGTCTTTAAAACAAAATCATGTCACCCCTCAGAATGTAAACTAAGGGCAGAATCCATTTTTGATTCATCTGTGTCTTTCCCTATTGCATAACAGAGTGCCTTGCACTTTGCATGTGGTTAGTAAATATTTGCTGAATGAGGGAGGAGGGAAGGAGGAAGCAAGGAAGGAACGGAGGGAGGGAGGGAGTCTATTCCTCCTTTATAGCTCATATTAACATAGCTTCCTTCTCCCGCATGATTTGCCATCAGTGCAGCCTGTTGTCTTCTCTGCTCCATCCCTACTTCTCCCCAGAAACAATCTCAGCCTCTTACCTTGCCCCTTCTAATTGTGGATCCCTATTCTATTGGTGTAACTTCTTGTTTCTTCAAACCTTTCACTCAAAACTTTCTCCCTTTCACCTTACCTGAGACCTGGACATTCTCTCATAACCTTTGCACAGACAGGCCGTCCTTCCACATATCAGAGAAGAAAGTGGAGTTTTCCTCTCCATGGCCTCATAGCAGCTTTCAGAACCACTCTTGATCATTTTCACTTAGAAACTCCTCTGAAGGCTGTGCCATTCATTTCATTCACTCATGCCGCCCTGTCCCTATCTGAGTCATGGCCACCTGACAACCTAAAGGAATTCTCTGGTGGGCTTTGGCACCTGGCTCAGGGTGCCTCTCTTCCTCATCCCTACCAGCCACCTGGGGACTAAGGCTATTCCAATACTCCAGGTTATGTTCCTCAATCTAATGACCCTTACATCAATAATTTAAATACGCAACACACTGTCCACTTACCAGGGTTTAGGAATGCTCCATTCCCTACTACCAAACTCTGAAATTACACCCTTTTTTTTTTTTTTTTTTTTTTTGAGATACAGTCTCACTTTGTCACCGAGGCTGGAGTGCAGTGGTGTGATCTCGGCTCACTGCAACCTCTGCCTCCTGGGTTCAAGCAATTCTCTACCTCAGCCTCCCAAGTGCTGGGATTACAGGCGTGTGCCACCACGCCCAGCTAATTTTGGTATTTTTAGTAGAGATGGGGTTTCACCATCTTGGCCAGGCTAGTCGTGAACTTCTGACCTCATGATCCATCCGCATCGGCCTCCCAAAGTCCTGAGATTACAGGAGTGAGCCACCATGCCCGGCCTTGAAATTCCCCTTTTTGGCCCAAACCTTGAGTTTCTGTGCCCTACTCTCTCCTCCGCAATTCTGATTTCCATTACTTTGTTGTTCTCCTAGACTAACAACCCCCTATTCCAGCTTTAGTGCTCTCCCTGTCCAACCTGGGATCCACGTGAGCCATTTCAAAAGTGTTTTCACAAGCAATCAAGATTTCCTCAGCCCTTAACTTTCCATCACTTCCCAAACTGAGGTAAGCCAAGCATGCATTTCTCTGCCTCCTGGTCTGGAGAAAGTTTCACAATCATGATGATTGATTCCATAATAAATCACTGCTTTCTAACTTCAGCTGCACCCTCGCTGCTGCTCCACAAACATTTAATCCATCTGTAATTATCTCTATCTAACTTCACCATGATCAACTAATTTGCATCAGATCAACCCTCTGAGAGCAACTACAAAAGCTGGGTACAATTATTTAAAAATTTTTTATTTCAGCAGCTTTGGGGGTACAAGTGGTTTTTGGTTACATGAATGAATTGTATAATTGTGAAGTCTGAGATTTTAGTGCATCTGTCACCTAAATAGTGTACAATGTACCCAATATGTAGCTTTTTATTCCTTGTCCCCCTCCCACCCTTCCCACGTCTGAGTCTCCAAAATCCATTATACCACTCTGTATGCCTTTGCATAGCTGGGTACAAATTTTTAAAAATATGTTTGAAGACACTGGAAATTCATCAAGGCAGGAGGCTCTGAAGGGCCAAGGTCCCAGAAGAAAGGGAAGCATGTTGAGGTGAGGCCAACATTCTGCATGGTCTGTCCCATGGGGGATATTTATTGACTTGTGAGAGGCAGCCAGACTCAGTAGGAGATAGTGCCTAAGAGATAGGAGGCTGAGAAGAACTTTCAGTAGTCCACAGTCCTGAGGAAACAAAAACTGGAATTTAGAGCCTGTTAAGGAGGAAGGGCCTGTTAAACAACACAGAATGTCATTAGGGTCCCTGAAGAACTATATTCTAGGACTAAAGCTGTATTGGTCAGGGTTTAATCAGGAGACAGAAACCACAGTCATTTGAAACGGGATCATTTAATATAAACAAGTATTGTGCTCACTTTGGCAACACACGTACTAAAATGATACAGAGAAGATTAGCATGGCCCCTGCACAAGGATGACATGCAAATTCATGGAGTGTCCCATATTTTTATTTGCAAAAATAAAATAAAGAAGCATTAACTCTAACAGGGTATTGGCATACTAAGGGATTAGCTAGTAAGAAGAAATGAGAATTCTAAAGGACACAGGAACAGCAAATATAAGAAAACCCCACTACTCCTAGGACTGAAATAGCTGTGAAGTTGGCCAAGCAGATGCCAAAGCAAGTTATTCATGGGGAGGTGCCTTAGCAGTTGCAACAGGCTGAGAAGCCACCCAGAAAGGTGCCAGGGAAAGCTTTTGGCTGCTAGGCACTGCTGACCACTTTGCACTGCCTGAGTGAGTGTACACTGAAGAAGTTGCACGTGCTGCCGGAGTAAGGCAAAGGAGCAAACCAAAACCAGGAAGATGGACTTCTTCCTCCTCCCGTGTTCCTCCAACACCCACTACTGACAGTGCTTAACACTATGCCAGCTGGCAAAAGAGATCGTTCTATTCCCTCTTATCTGCAGGGATATGCTCCACCCCCAGTGGAGACCCGAAACCACAGATAGCCCCAAACCCCAGCCAAAGAACGCCAAAGTTACATTTTCTTTTCTTTTATTAGACAGGGTCTCACTCTGCCACCCAGACTGGAGGGCAGTGGTGGGATCACAGTTCCTTGTAGATTTGATCTCCTGGACTCAAGTGATCCTCCTACCTCAGCCTCCCAAGCAGCTGGGACTACAGGTGTATGCCACCACACCCAGCTAACACGTTTTCACTTAAAGCAGCACTTTATGGTTTCTTGTTGGCATATCCAAATTGCTAGCATCACTATTCTTTGCTTTGGGACCATTATTAGGTAAAATAAAGATTACTTGAACACAAGCACTGACATACCTAGACAGTTGATCTGATAACCAATATCACCACTAAGTGACTAACAGGTAGGTATTGTAGACAGCATGGATAATTCCCTTGATCGCTCTTTATACTTCACCTAACATCCATCTCTTTCCCTCCCTTCACTACTAAACCTCTTCACTTTTTATTTGTTTGTATCTATTTTTGCAGAATCAGAGTCTCCCTATGTGACCCAGGCTAGTCTTGAACTTCTGGGCTCAAGCAGTCTTCCTGCCTCAGCCTCCCAAAGTGCTGGAATTACAGTCATGAGCCACAGCACATGGCCTAAAGGTCACTTTTTTTTTCTTTTCTTTTCTGAGACAGAGTCTTGCTCTGTCGCCCAGTGGCACGATCTCAGTTCACTGCAACCTCCACCTCCCGGGTTGAAGCAATTCTCCTGCCTCAGCCTCCCAAGTAGCTGGGATTGCAGGCACCAGCCACCACGCCCAGCTAATTTTTGTATTTTTAGTAGAGATGGGGTTTCACCATGTTGGCCAGGCTGGTCTTGAACTCCTGACCTTGTGATCTGCCTGCCTCAGCCTCCCAAAGTTCTGGGATTACAGACATGAGCCACCGCGCCCGGCCTAAAGTTCACTTTTTAAGATGTTGAATCTAATCCAAAAACACCCTCCAAGCAGACCCATAAAATGTAACCATCACAAGGTCCTTCTCCCACACAATGGGATCTTGCTCACCACCCCTCTCTTTCCAGGTCCAATGCAAACACAGCCAAGAAGTGCAAGGGAGTTAGTGCCTCCAGATGAAATCCTCAACCAATGAGTGCAGACACTGGCAGATGAATGTTCCAGCCTCCCATCCTTCATATGGACAATTCTGGGAGGCATTCTTTAAATTTGGAGTCTCTACTGGAAAGGAGCCTCCATTGCCTACAATAACAATCTCAATAAAACATCCTCATATTGGCTTTCTTGCCTTCCCTAGTTCATACTCTGTTGCCTCACTGCTGCTTCTTAGGATTCCCTCCCCAAAACACTACCTCTGTTAAATCCAAGCTCAGGCTCTTCTTTTTGGGAAACCCAAACTTAGACGCCTTCTCAGTAGCAGCTGAGTCTGATGAGTGTCTCCTCCCTTGGCTATCCCGGTTCTGCTCCAGCCTCTCTGACCTCAGTTTCTCTCACTGGTTTCTCTTCTGCTGGTCTGACTTTGGAGATATAGTGTTTTCTGTCCTCTGCCTTCTTCCTCTATAGACTCTCTTGGTTGGTGTTGTTCATTTCAGCATAACTCTCACCACTTCCCTGCTCTGGTCTCCTGTCTTCTCCTGCCTGCTAGGGATCCCTTGAGGCTGCAGCACGTGGCTCTCACACAAATATGTCCACATCCAAATATAGCCCCTTCCCACATAATTTATCTCTTCTATGTTCCATACCTCAGTGTCATGGCATTACTATTCTCTCAACTTCCCAGAATAGAAACTTTGAATATTCCTTCCCTCTCATCCCCAGGTTCTTCTACTAATACCTCAGAGTTATTTCTAGACTGAGTTTCTTCCTCTCCATCCCTGCAGGCATTAACTCAGTTCAGGTCCTCATCACCTCTCACTTGAATTGCTCTAACTATAGCCTGCAGTTTTCCCTGCCTCCAGTTCTCCCCATCTCAATTCATGCCCCATGTAGCCACTGACTTGGGCGTCCGAAGTCACAGATCTGATCATGTTGCAACATAGCTCAAGACCATTCCACAACTACTGATATTAAAACAAAGCAAAACCTTTTAAGCCAAAGTTCCTGGCAGAGAAGAACTTGAGAAGGCATGTATTCAAATGAGAATGGTGGTCATTTATGTACCCTTACTGCTCATTTGGGGCACCTCTTTACCTCCACACCAAAGCTGTTTGTGGAGGGCACCTTCTTCCATCCAAAACCTGGTCTAAGTTACACAAATTCCCTGTTGGTAGTTCCCCTATCAAAGGTGAGTCAATCTTACACTTTCAAAATGAACTTTCTTAAAAACTAAAGAAAATCCAAGAAGTATACACACACACACACACACACACATACACACACACACACCATGCAGGAATATTTGAACATTTAAAAATGAATAGATCTATTTTTTTAATCATAACAGGTAGAAATATAAAACCCAAACTCTAAAACTTAGAAAGAAGCATAAGAGAAAATCACTGTAACCTTGATGAAGCAAAAATTTCTTATAGACTACACCAAAAGCATCATCTATAAAACAAAAACTTGACAAGTTGGATTTTGTCAAAAGTAAAACTTTTGCTCTTTGAAAGACACTGTTAACAAAATGAAAAGACAAGCCATAGGGAGGGAAACAGTATTTTTAAATGATACATCTAAAAAAGAACTTGTATCCAGAATATATAAAGAACTTTCAAAACTCGGTAATAATAAAACAATCCATTAAAATATGAGCCAAAAATTTGAACAGACACTTCACCTAAGGAGACATATGGATGGTGTAGGGTGCAGTGGCTCACACTTGTAATCCCAGCCCTTTGGGAGACCGAGGTGGGCAGATCACCTGAGGTCAGGAGTTTGAGACCAGCCTGGGCAACATGGCAAAACCCCGCCTCTACTAAAAATACAAAAAAATCAGCCAGGCATGGTGGCATATGCCTGTAGTCCCAGCTACTTAGGAGGCTGAGGCACGAGAATCACTTGAACCTGGATGGTGGAGGTTGCAGTGAGCTGAGATCGCGCCACTGCACTCTAGCCTGGGCAACAGAGTGAGATTCTGTTTCAATTAAAAAAATATATATATATATATATGGAGGCAAGTAGGCACATGAAAACATGCTCGTATTATTGGTCAGTGGGGAAATGCAAATTAAAACCACAATGAGCTACCTATCCAAATAGCTAATAGTAACAGGACTTGAACATAACAAATGTTGGCAAAGATATGAAAGAACTAGAGTTCTCATACATTTCTGGTGAGAATATAAAATACTACAACCACTCTGAAAAACTATTTCGCAAATTCTTTTTTTTGAGAGAGTCTCACTCTGTCGCCCAGGCTGGAGTGTAGTGGTGTGATCTCGGCTCACTGCAGCTTCCACCTCCCGGGTTCAAGCGATTCTCCTGCCTCAGCCTCTCAAGTAGCTGGAATTAAAGGCATACACCACCACACCTGGCTAATTTTTGTGTTTTCAGTAGATACCAGGTTTCAACATGTTGGCCAGGCTAGTCTTGACCTCCTGACCTCAAGTGATCCACCCACCTCAGCCTCCCAAAATGCTGGGATTAAAGGTGTGAGCCACTGCACAGCGGCCTATTAGATAAATTATTTAAAAGTTAAATATATGCTAACATGGATTGGGTATGTCCCCAACCAAATCTCATCTTGAATTATAGCTCCCACAATTCTCACATATCATGGGAGAAACCCGGTGGGAGGTAATTGAATCATGAGAGCAGGTCTTTCTCATGCTGTTCTCATGGTAGTGAGATCTGATGGTTTTATAAAGGGAAGTTTCCCTGCACAAGCTCTCTCTTGACTGCCGCCATGTAAGACATCTCTTGCTCTTCCACCATGATTGTAAGGCCTCCCCAGCCATGTGGAACTGTGAGCCAATTAAACCTCTTTCCTTTACAAATTGCCCAGTCTTAGGTATGTCTCTATTAGCAGCATAAAAACAGACTAATACAAATGCTTACCATATGATTAAATCATTCCACTCCAAGATATTTACCAAGATTGAAAGCATACGTCAAAGACTTTTGCATGAATATTCATAGAGGCCTTATTTGTTGCCAAAATATTTTGATCATGAACAGATAAATGGATGAAGAAATTGTGACCTATCTGTACAATGGAACACTACTCAGCAATAAAAAGGAATGAACTATTGATACACACAATAACATGAATGAATCTCAAAATAATCATGTAGAGTGAAAGAGGTCAAAATAAAAAAGAATGCATGTTATGATTCCATTTATATAAAATAGAAAATGCAAATCAATCTAAAGTAACAACAGGCAGATTGGTGGTTGCCAGGAAAGAGGGAATAAGTGGCATAGAAGGGCAGAAGGGGTGGATTGAAAGGAGCACAAGGAAGCTTTTGGGAGTGACATGATTTGGAAGTTTGTCCCCTCCAAATCTCATGTTGAAAAGTGATTCCCAATGTTGGAGGTAGGGCCTTGTGGAAGGTGATTGGATCACAGGAGTGGATCCCTCATGAGTAACTTAGCACCACCCTCTTGGTGATGAGTGAGTTGTTTCTAGATCAGTTAATTTAGGTGAGATCTGCTTGTTTAAAGGAGTCTGGAACTTCTCTCCTCTCTTGCTCCCACTCTCACCATGCAATTTGCCTTCTCTCCCTTTGCCTTCTGCCATGATTGTAAGCTTCCTGAGGCCCTCACCAGAGACTGAGCAGATGGGGGTGCCATGCTTGTACAGCCTGCAGAACCATGCGCTAATTAAACCTCTTTTCTTTATAAATTACCAAATCTCAGGTATTCCTTTACAGTAACACAAAAATGCTCTAAAACAGGAGATGAATATGTTCACTACTTTAATTGTGGTGATGATTTCACGGGTATATGAGTGTGTCAAATTTTACCAAATTGTACACCTTTAATATGTATAGTTTATTGAATGTCAATTCACATCAATAAAATAGTTAAAATATTTAATTAAAAAAACTAATAGTCTTACTTGATTCAAAGTTCTTCTTCTTTCTGATTCTGTCAAAGGACTTTGCCCAAAAAGGAAGGTAGCTAAAAAGAGCATAGATCAGGGTTTAAAACCCTGCTCTGCCACAAAGCCACTGTGTGACCTCAGGTTGGTTACTCTCATGGTCTTTTCCATTTCTCATCCGTTGAATGGGGCTAATGATATTCTACCTCACAGGTTTGTTGCTAAACTTAGAATGAGATGACAGGTGAGAGAGAGTCCCTAGCACATCCTAGGCTCCAGTGTGTATAGATCAGGCCCATCTCTGAGGAGATTAGATTCCTTTCTGTTCCCCTCCTTTCCCTTCCTTTCCTCTTTCCTTTCAGATCAGGATCCTAGTTACAAAGACATTCAGGGGAGAAACAATGAAGAGGAAATAGGCCAAAGGGTGTGTCTTGGGTTGTGTTCCCTGAAAACAGTGCCCCTGAGACCTGGACTTGAAACTTCCTGGAAGGGTGACCCCAGGGATCAGAAGGGAGGGAGCAGAAAATGTGAGTCCGGGAAGGAGAAAATGCCAATACAAAGGTGCATTTTGAGCTAACTACTGAGGTGGAGCTCAGAGCAGATCCTCAGGAACAGCAGAACCTCAGAAAGAACAGGAGGCTGGGCACTGGCTTGTTCCCTCCAGTGGTTGAGGGTTGCCCTCAGAGCACTGATGCACCTCTCCTCTCCCACACTTCTCTCAGCTGAGGGAGAAAGGCAGAGACAAATCCTCTTGGATGGGATCCTGGCAGGGTTAAGGGATGGCTCGCCACAGCTGCAGCTCAAATCAGAGGCAGCCTGAGGACACACAGCCCAATGCACCCCAAGTGGCTGCCTCAGGCCCAAAGCCCATCCTTGGGTCAACAACATAACCCTCTCAGCCTTGTTGAGCACCTTTGCACCAGGCAACAGACATCCAATACTTCTCAGCAGAGAAACCAGAGACCCTCGGTTAAAGCCCTCTCTCCTCAAGAACACAAGCAGGGAGGGACACACTGCCTTCCTCAGTCACTCCCTCAGAACAGTTGTCTGGGAGAGAAGAGAGAGACCTGAGGGGTGAGTTGTTAAAAAGGTCCTAGGATGAAGGGGTGGGGCTGGAAATTTTGAGGAAAAGGGAGAGGGAGCTATTTCATTGAACAGTAGTTAAATCCATTTTCTCTGCTCTACAAATAAATTGTGAACTAGGTATGTTCCTCAGATTGGAAACACAGCAATGCTTATTGTGATAATACCTATCACCTATTGAGCATATAATATTTGCCTGGAATTATGCTATCTTCTTTTTTTATTTTTGTTTTTTTTTTTTTTTGGAGACAGATCTCGTTGTGTCACCCAGGCTGGAGTGCAGTGGTGCAATCTCGGTTCACTGCAACCTCCGCCTCCCGGGTCCAAGTGATTCTCCTGCCTCAGCTTCCCAAGTAGCTGGGACTATAGGTACCCACCACGCTCAGCACTTTTTTTTTTTTTTTTTTTTTTTTTTTTTGTATTTTTAGTAGAGACGGGGTTTCAGTATATTGGCCAGGCTGGTCTTGAACTCCCAACCTCGTGATCCACCCGCCTCGGCCTCCCAAAGTGCTGGGATTACAGGCATGAGCCACCATGCCCAGCCTCCTGTGGTCTAACCTATTATCATGCTGAGCCTTGCTATGTTCTTTCATCCTCAGAACAA